GGGCCGCGAGAATGAGACCTCTGCTCTACAGACTTTAACCTAATTCTTGATTCTCTCTTCCTGTTATTATTTTCAATTGCTTGGAGATTTTGGGCAGTCCTCTCAAACCTAAAAGACAGAATAAATTGCATCTGTTAAGATTGGTCTGCTTCTAAAAATCTATTTGTGAATTTTGACTTGGTTACGGCTTGCTTTGTGATGCGTGGACTTCCACTGCAGAGGCTGAGATTCCTTGAAGAAGAGGTGATCTGTTTTCAGGTGGCTAAGGAAGCATCGTCGGATTCCTGGCAGAAGGTCATTTTAGGTGAAATCAAACAGGAGGAGGAGGAAGAGGAGGAGGAAGAGGAGGATGGCGCATCTCTGGGTAAGGGCCTCCCTTCTGTAGCCATGATTTTCTATGTTGGCTTGATTGTGGCTTCTTTTGCTCAGTTGCTAGCAGGTGTTCTGACCCAAACCCTTTCCCAATAAAACAAACAATAACCAAAGGGAACAGAAACCTTTTAATGAGTCTTACGAATCCCTGGTTAAAAGGCTGCTGCAAACTAATTAATTTTGATAAGCACAAACCTCGCTAAAACTCTGCGAGGCTGCCAAGAATCACAGATAAGAAATATTTCACAACACAAGAGTCTTCAAATACCGACTTAAGATACTGCAATGTCCACGAGGCTGGAGTTTCAAAACGTCTTTGCTTCCTGCAAAGAACGTCCAATTCACAGCTGGCTTTTTATCTTCTTGAAGGAGGGGCCATTACCTTGCAGCCTTACTTCCGAGTCGCCCATGCTGCTGCAGCTGCTCTTTCCTGCGAGCAGCCCAGCGTGCACGCGCACTTGGCACAGGCTCCTCAGGAACTTCCTCATCGCTGCTGCCAGCCCCCCCACAATCTCTGAAGGCAGCAGTCCACTCCCTAATGGTCCTGGCCCCTCATCTGAGTCCTCGCTCTCCTTAGCCGTCTGCACCTGCTGCCGGCCAACCACAGCATGTTTGTTAGCCTGGAGAATTATATTTTATTCAGTAGACAAATCGTAGCTTAGGACAGGGGTCTCCAAACTTGGCAACTTTAAGATTTGTGGACTTCAACTCCCAGAATTCCTCAGTCAGCCAGCCTTTGCTTGTCAGAAAATTGCAAAAGGTGATCGCACGACCCCAGGACACTGCAACCCAGTGGTGGTATTCGACCCAGTTCTGCCCAGTTCTGGAGAGCCGGTAGCGGCGATGAGCAGTGGAGACCGAACCAATTCTCTTCGCTGCTCTATGTTTGGCCCACCCACCCGCCTGGGCTCCCATACTCACTTCTACGGCCAGAATTCAAAGCGCAGCTGCTTTGCGCGGCGCAGAATAGCGCCCCGCAGCAGCGGCTGCAGCAACCAGCATCGTGCAGGCTTGCAGGAGGCAAGTTAGAACGCCTCTGCACCTGCGCAAAGTGCATGTTCGGCACGCGCACGTGCACGCAAAGTGTGCATGCGTGCAAAGCGCAGCCACCAAGTCACGCCCACCGAACCGGTGGCAACTTTATTGGAATACCACCACTGCTGCAAATATCATAAATACGGCTCAGTTGCCAAGCATCTGAATTTAGATCACGTGACCGTAGGGACACCACAACGGTCGTAAGTATGAAAAATGAACATAGATCGCTTTTTTTCTGTGTTGTTGTAATTTCGGTTACTAAACAGTTTTAAGTGGAGAACTGCCGGCACTCCGGTTACATTCTTGCCCTAGACCAGTGATGGTGAACCTTTTTGTTGTGGGGTGCCGAAAGCGTGTGTGTGTCAGCACCCACAATACATGCGCACACAACAACCCCACCTTGCCCCCCTACCTGCACTGTGCACACGCGCACCTCCCAGCTGATTTTCAGCCCGTTTGAGGCCGTTTTTCGCCCTCCCGGAGGCTCGAGGGAAGCCTCTGCAGCCTCAGGAGGGCGAAAAACAGGCCTTCCAGAAATAGTGGAAGTGGCCGTTTTCAGCCTCCGGAAGGCCTCTGGAGCCTGGGGGAGGCCATTTTTGCCCTCCCGGAGCTCAAAGGAAGCCGTGGGAGCCTTGGGAGGCTGAAAACGGGCCCGTTTCGGCACTTCCGGTATTTGTGGAAGGCCCGTTTTTCAGCCTCCCGAGGCTGCAGAGGCTTCCCTTGAGCCTCCAGGAGGGCGAAAACAGCCTCGAACAAGCTGGGAGGCGCATGCAGGTAAGTTTGGCTGGGGCTCACATGCCCACACAAATGGCTCTGCGTGCCACCTCTGGCACTCGGGCCATAGGTTCGCCATCACAGCCCTAGACTCAACCTCCTCTTAATCTGACTATTGCTTTGGTAGCGGCCCTTCCTTCTGTCCCTCAAAGTCATTCCTTTTGTCTTCTCCATACACCTCAAACTGCAAACCTTGTTTTGCAGGGCTTGAGCCTCTAAGCAAGAACGATCCTTAACTCCTTTTTGTTGGGAAAGGCATCGTTGATTAAAAGGTCAAGTGAAGTACAAGAGAGCAAAGCCAGAACTGAAAATCGTGCGCCCAAATTCCCAAGGGTAATTTCCCCTCCCTTAGGTGCTTCCCATCGCTTGCTCCCTCAGTGTCCAATCAAATTCAAAGAAGATGTTTTGGGATGGTTGGTGTGCAGATGTATTCCCTTCTCGGCCGTCTGACCTTGAAGCCGTGCGTCTGACAGATCCAATCAGGGGTGGGATTCTACCGGTTCGGACCGGTTCTATAGAACCGGTTGTTATGATTCTGTGCAGTTCAGAGAACCGGCAAATCGTGCCCCTGGCTGGCCCCTCCCCTCCCCGCCTGGTCAGTCCTTATCGCGCATGGGCAACATTGCACGCATGCCCCACATCGCTCACCGCGTTCTTCCCCGTCCAATCCCTCCTTAAGGTATTTTTCTCCTCCTGACGATCAGCTGTTCCTGTGATCAGTTAGGCTGGGATTCCCCTCGCTTACTTAGTGCTTCGCATAGGAGGTTTCCCTGAGGCCTAGGATGGCAAAAAAATGGAGCCCTCCTCCATTTTTTGCCTTCCTGGGCCCCAGAGAAGTCTTCTGGGAGCAAAAACGCCCCCCCAGGAGGTTTCCTTGAGGCCCAGAAGGCCCAAAAAATGGGGGGGGGGGGTTGCTGCCAAAAATAAAAAGAAGCCACACCCACACAGTCACAAGGCCACGCTTACCTAGCCACGGCCACAGAACCGGTTGTTACAAAATTTGAATCCCACCCCCAGATACAATGAACTGTTTGTGATCACCGAATCCTCCCCCCCCTTCCATCTTCTTCCCAGAGTTCATGGCAGACGGCACTGAGTGAAACGTGAGGTGGCGGTTCTGGACAGTTTAGATCAGAGAATGACGCAGATCCCTGTCTCCTCCCTGACAGGCGATGAGCAAGCGCCTGAGGACGCCTTGGAAAATTCTTCAGAACCAGGATCACAGCGGATTCTCTGCTCAAGAGCTGATCATAGATCCCGTACACCAGAACTAGGGGGGGCCTCTCAAAGCCAGCCAGGAGGCTACCTAGAAAAGAGAAAGGACGGCCTTCTTTGCCCCTCACCAAGTTTCCAGCAGGCTGGAGGAGTTGGAGTTGGGGTCCAGCCCAGGATCCAAGATGAGCGGTTGAAAAAGTGCCTGGAATGTGGGAAGGGCTTTGTTTGGCGGTCCGAACTGATCGAGCACCAGCGCTCGCACACGGGCGAGCGGCCCTACTCCTGCTCATACTGCGGGAAGAGCTTCAGCCGCAAATCCTACATTATAAAACACGAACGGATCCACACGGGGGAGAAGCCCTACATGTGCGCCCACTGCGGCAAGGGCTTCGTTTCCAAGTCGGACCTCATCAAGCACGAACGGACCCACACGGGGGAGAAGCCGTACATCTGCGCCGACTGCGGACGCAGCTTCAGCAGGAAGCAATTTCTGGTGACCCATCGGAGGACGCACACGGGGGAGAAGCCATACAAGTGCACTGAGTGCGGCAAGAGCTTCAGCCAGCGGACGTGCCTGGTCATCCATGAGAGAGCCCACACCGGCGAGAAGCCCTTTCAGTGCCTGGTGTGCGGGAAGAGCTTTGGGAGAAGGGATATTCTTGTGACCCACCAGAAACTCCATGTGCGAGAAACGGCTTTGCCATGCGCTGAGTGGCTGTGAAACGTCAACTTTTACCGAGCACAGGACACGAGGGGTTCCCGTCGGCAATGTGTTTGGGAAGGGATTAAAAGTGCAGAATGCAGGGTGTGTGTGTGTGTGTGTGTGTGTAAATAGAGAAGATAGATACATGGATTGTGATTCAAGAAATAAGCTGGGTAAAAATTCTAGTTCGTGTGGGCAACGATAGAACGAATATCACGTGGTATTTATTTATTGATAGAGAGACACTTGGAATATTGCATCCAGTTGTGGTCGCCACAATGTAAAGAAGATGTTGAGACTCTAGAAAGAGTGCAGAGAAGAGCAACAAAGATGATTAGGGGACTGGAGGATAAAATATATAAAGAACAGTTGTAGGAATTGGGTATGTCTAGTTTTGAAAAGAAGGACAAGGAATGACATGATAGCAGTGTTCCAATATCTGTCAGGATTCCGGCAGTTACCCCAATTAAATCATGAGTCTTGAGCCAAACTTCCAAACCTTCAAAAGGATTTTGAATTATTATATATTTATTAATTATTATATATTAACATGTCCAGCACTGCCTGGGTGTAGCCGACTCTGAGACACATCATTCATTCTCACTCTTGATCTGGTTTTCCCCCACTTCCTGGGTACATCATAATTCATATTCTCCAATGGGACACATCCATAGCAAAGAGTCATCAATCATGTTCTCCAGTTAGATATTTGCCCGGCAGAAACTTCAGTCAGCAAGTTACTATCTTTGAAAAACTATTTATGGAATGCACTTTTACTTTCCAAACTGCCACACTGCTCTTTCAAACCCCTTTCCCCCCTCCCTTTCTGTTGGCAACTCTAAAAAGACCATAGAAATATTTTATGAGTTGACAATCTCGGGCTGCCAGAAAGAAGAGGGGGAGTCAAGCTATTCTCCAAAACACCTGAGGGCAGGACAAAAAGCAATGGGTAGAAACTAATCAAGGAGAGAAACAACCTAGAACTAAGGAGAAATTTCCTGAGAGTTTCTGACCGCTGGCCATGCCCACCCAGTCGCCCACCCCCAGGTCAACCACAGCGCTGATGCGGCCCTCAATGAAATTGAGTTTGACATCCCTGCACTAAGCTGTAATATGGTTACTTTGGTTGTGATACGATCTTAGATGTTGTAGCTGGTATACTATGGTACAAGGCCTAGGACAGTAGTGGCTAAACTTTTTGGGCTCCTGTACCAAAAATTGCAAGCGCGCCAGCACCCAGAATGCAATGCGTGCTCCCCCTCCCTACGCGCCCTGTACATGTGTGTGCAATTCCCCAGCCCCTTACTTGCACTGCGCCTCACAGCTGATTTTTCGGCTGGTTTGAGGTCTTTTTCAGCCTCCCAGAGGCTTGGAAAAAGCCTCTGCAAGGCTTCTCAGGCCGAATTATAGGCCCGTTTCGTCACTTCCAGTATTACAGCAAGGCTTCTAAGGCCAAATTATAGGCCCGTTTCATCACTTCCAGTATTACAGCAAGGCTTCTAAGGCCGAATTATAGGCCCGTTTCGTCACTTCCGGTATTACAGCAAGGCTTCTAAGGCTGAATTATAGGCCCGTTTCGTCACTTCCGGTATTACAGCAAGGCTTCTGAGGCCGGATTATAGGCCCGTTTCGTCACTTCCGGTATTACAGCAAGGCTTCTGAGGCCGAATTATAGGCCCGTTTCGTCACTTCCGGTATTACAGCAAGGCTTCTCAGGCCGAATTATAGGCCCGTTTCGTCACTTCCGGTATTACAGCAAGGCTTCTCAGGCCGAATTATAGGCCCGTTTCGTCACTTCCAGTATTACAGCAAGACTTCTCAGGCCGAATTATAGGCCCGTTTCATCACTTCCGGTATTACAGGAAGTGATGAAACAGGCCTATAATTCGGCCTAAGAAGCCTTGCAAAGGCTTTTTCTAAGCCTGTGGGAGGCCGAAAAAGGCTTCAAACCAACCAACCAAAAAAAAAACAACAGCTGTGAGGCGCGCACATGTGCAGTGAGGTAAGTTTAACTGTGGCTCGCGTGCCGGCACAAATGGCTCTGCATGCCACTCGTGGCACGTGTGCCATAGGTTCCTCATCATGGGCCTAGGATGTTGCTAGAACCCAGTTAGTCGTGGTTTCTTCCACAACAATGTAGTGACTTATTAATGAAGCATAAACTAGGCTTCATACCAAGCTTTCATTGGCACTTAACTATATTTTAGGATTGAAAACACATCTCAACATGTTGTTGTTGAGTTGTTCAATTAGCTTGTGTGTTCAAAGCATGGCAAACAATTGTGGCAGAGACCACAATTTTCAAACCCCATAATTTTAGCTTATAAACCATGAGTTGTGGGTTCAAACCTCAAATTCAGAGTTTATTTTCCTTGACTCTGGTTTTGCATGATTTCTGAATGGAAGACGATGCGAGTGGAAGCAATAGAGTGTCTATTTGCGGGTATTTAAGTCTTAGCCATTTATTATTTCATTTACCACATTTTTGACTTCCAGCCTTCTCTTTGTTTCAGAAAAATTCACTTCCCCCCCTAAACTTAAAGGAACCAAAAAAAATTGCACAAATATAGTCGGAAAGTCGCATGAGCAGGGGACCTACAACGTCCCTTCCAACTCTATTATACTGTTAAATGCAATGTAGTAAGATCAAAACATTGGAGCCAAGGGGCACCTTTGGGACTTTGTAAGCCTCTAGCAGGACCACTAACGAACCAATATCTGGATTTAGCACAGCCTGTTACTACACAGCCCTGTCCCAGAGGACAAATGAGTCTCCATTTCAGCATCTTATTAATCCCGCAGGACTTTTTTATGAGTGGAAAGTCATTCCTGCAATTAAGCATGTTTATTTATTTATTGAATTTATATTGCCACCTATTCATCCTTGGCGACTCAAGGCAGCTTATAGAAAATAAAACCACATTTAAAACAATCAAAGCTAAACAACAAGAATCAAGTTAATATAGTACAATATCACAAAATAACTCCCACCCCCCTGCCCTGACGACAGCAGATCACATGAGCCATTTAATGGGCTCCATCCCGTTCTGGGTTCCCCAGGCCCGCTGGCAGAACCGGGTCTTCAGCGCCTTCCAGAAGAGTGCTAGAGTGGGGGCCATTCTAATGCTTACCCGAGTAGTGCAAATGGCTGTTGAGACTTCTTGGTTGCGGAGTGTTTTCTGCCCCATATCCCTTCCCTGTTAAAGACAGGTGCAGGATTTGGGGGGATGAGTCTATGTTGTCTGCACCTCCAAGCGAAGTGAAAATGGTTCCTGTAGTCTGCAATTTTTCGGGAAATTCATTCATACTCCCACACCAGAGGTATTCAGCAGGTTCTGACCAGTTCTGGAGAACCGGTAGTGGAAATTTTGAGTAGTTTGGAGAAGCGGCAAATCCCACCTCTGATTTGCCCCACCCCCCATCTATTCTCTGCCTCCCAAGCCCCAGCTGATTGGCTGGGTCTTCTTTGGTTGCCCTGCACAGGAGAACGGAGCTGGAAAGCAGGTTAGTGGGGTGGGGAGGGAATGGAGATTTTGCAGTAACCTTCCCCTGGAGTGGGGTGGGAATGGAGATATTGCAGTTGTCAGCGTTCCGGGGAAAATCCATTCCTGTCAGTAACTCCAAGACAAACATAATCTCAAAGTACCTTTATTAGAATAGCACCTGGCATATTCTGTGGAATTCCAAAACTAAAAAGTTTTCCTGGACTTCCCACACTGTCCCAACCTACAAACCATCCCCTTTTTATTCATCGTCACATCACATGAACCAATCGCAAAGTAAGTTCCAATTCTTTCCGCGCCACACTCTTTAACCTTGAACTAACAAAAGAATTTTATTTTGTAGTTCCGGTTTGTCAGGCTTCGGAGGCAGCAGGAATTCGCGTTTGTGCGCGATCCCTGCTGCGCTCGCTGCTGGAGTGCCTTCGATCCAATTGGATTGGGAGGCTATAGTTATCCTGTAGGGATAACTGAAGAGAGGGGAGATCCGGGCAGGGGTCGGGGGATATCGCACCCCCCTTCCCCAGCCGGCTTAACTCCCTTTTCCAAAGGTGGTGGAGCGGCGGTCAGCAATGGCCGTCACAAAGAACCTCTCAGCCGGACAAGTTTTGTGCAGGAGGAAGTGAAGAAAGAGAAGGCTTTTGGCTGAACCGGGATGACAATTAACATCTGAATACCCTGAAACTTTGGCTCCTTAAGTGATATATTGTTTCCCAGAAGATCGTTAAGCTGCGGTGGAAAGTAAAGGGAAAGTTTTTTGTTTTTTTCTCCTCACTTCCCCACGGAGACAGCAGATGGAAATCGGAAATACCCGCTTTGGCAGCAGAAGGTACTAACTTTGAAAATTAAAGCCAAGGGGACATTAGATTTCTAAACACTGACATTTAAAAATTAAAATCTTTTTGCTTTAAGTGGGAAGGAAGAGAGGTAAATGATTTATACTAACGTTTGTTGAAGGAGATTGCTTGGAGTTTTATAAGATCAGAGATTAAATTGCAATAAAACTTCCAAAAAATTGAATTCTACCCCAGGAAGAGAAAGTAGAAGAAAGTGCTAAATGAAACAGACTGTGCTGATTGTGCTGACTTTGATTGCTTGATGACTTTGGGACTTTTGTGAACTATCTTTTGAAAGACTAAGAAAACATTTGGATTTTTTTACAATGGTATCTGTTGAAGAACTGAAAATGCAATTTGAAAAATTAAGAGAAGAAGAAGAAGAAGGCAAGGGCTCCTTTGGATCTATCCTTTGCTTCTTAGAAATGGCGATTTCTACTTATCAGGAAATGCAACAAGAAAAAGGCTGGGATGATGAAGAAGAAGCCATCTTTAATGGACATATGATTTTAAATGAGAAAGAAAGGGGTAAAAAGGAAAAGAAAATTGAGAATTTAAGTTCTAAAAAAACAACCAAGAAAGGGAAAAATAAGGTGAAAAATCGATATAATGTCAGAAAGCAACAGAAGAGAGGAATACAACAGAGAGGGGAGACTAAAAGGCTGGAGATTGAGAGAGGGGGGCGTAAAAAGGCTAGATTTGACAAGGAAGGAAGGGAAAAAGCGAAGGGAAGTTATAAAGGCTTAAAACAAGATGCTAATAAACAGGTTTTTTTCAGAGATAAAGGGTAAAACATAATCTAAAAAGAGATTCTGCAAAAGTACACAAGATTGTATTGTAGTATTTGTATTTGAAATATGGGTTAATAGAATATTGTAGGGAATGTGTAAAATGCCTAAGATTTAATTAATAGAGTTTAATTAATTATTTTT